TCGGACTGCATTTGCAGCCAGTTTCTTAGGATCCACTGTGGGATGGACCTTAACAAGAGATCCTTCCTGTCTACATCCATCAGCATCTATAACATCTCTTAATGAAATGAGGATAACGAGCTACAACAACAAATAATTTCCCTTTGGGATTAATAAAGTATTTTTGAATCAAATTGATTTGAGTGTTGCATGTGCAAAACAGCTTTAATCGTTTTTTGTCAGTTCTATTCTATTTATTTTTAGTTTGAATCATCAGAAGAAATCAACATAAAGCATCTTTTTGACAGTCGTTTTGGTTGTTTAGCATTAACTTGAGTCAATCATTAAAAAAAACGTACATAAATGTTACAACATAAAGTTGCAACATTGTTCAGCTGGTCTGGGTCCAGCCATTGGATGCATTTATTCTACTGAGATTTTTGCATTAAATATTTGCTTTTGCTCACTACAATGGAAATTTGTCCTTTTGAGTTTGGAAATTAAAGTTTTGCTGGATATTTGAGCGCTGATCTTGTAGAATCAGACTCTCCTCGGACAACCCTGATCAAAGTTTTGACTATGCCATCGCATGCATATGTATTTTCTACGATGCAGCAGTAAGGACAATTAAAGAAAAACATCTGCATAACATTTAAATAAGTCCACAGCAGAACTTACCGACGGCCTGCTGCCGGTGCAGGCATGTACCAGGATGTGCCATCTTTTCTTAGTAAAGCAACTGATTTTCACTGACCAGTACCAATAGATTATTTTGTTTATTCCTGGCTCATCAATGAATGAACTCTTTGATGAATGACCTAAAGACCCCATTAACACGTTCCACCCAACAAATAATTTTAGAACGTACACAGGTAAACACGGTGCTGCCTGAACTTGAGTGCATGTTTATAGTTTTTAATATGTTTCGATCACTTAAAGAAAAAAAACTTTGTTATTGTACAGGTGCTAGTTTTGCTTAAAATTCTTAGCATCTTGAAAGTAAACCGATCATCCATTAAACAACCCCCACACCCACTCACGAGTTGTCAAGTGAACCCACAAAGGCATTGTAGGGTGTCATCAATGTTTTACGGCACCGAGAAAACTTTCTTACAACCACACGTATGTAGTGTCCAATCAAGTTGTGCAGGCTGTTAGGAATAATTTAATTTTTTATATTTTTATTTATTGCACAGTTAAAGCTTAAGCTTTAAGCTTCTGATTGTTCCGTGGGGAAACTTGGGATGTTCTCTGTTTGCTGGACCCGGTTCTGAACTGCGGTCCTTATTTACCATTAAGCTGCTGAACGGACCTGCTAACAAGACCCGATAAGCTGCTAATAGAACCAAACCATGCTGCTGAAAGAACCTCTCTGCTAACCGAATCACACTGTAGATGTATTTCTTTTTTAACTTTGGCACCTTTTTTTAGTATTTTAGTAGGTAAAAAAAATAAAAAAAAAAAAAAAAATAT